CCACCAGGATCATTGGTGATCGAGATTTGATGGTTTGTAACAGTACTGAATTCAATATATCTTTAGATGCATTTCATGATCTTTCGACTATGGTGGCCGGAAGTCAAGCGCAAAAGAAAGTCCAGATCGATACGAACACTATTGTGGCTGCCAAAAACGATAGTTGTCGAGTGCAGAAGAAGTCCAACGTGGTGAAGGGGCAATGGACTGCCGAGGAAGATAGGTATTGATTTCCTTATAATAATGTTTTTATTGCAGACAAATATATAGAGATTTCAGAAAGTTAAAAGGAGATGAATCTAATAAGAGATATTTTGTGTATTTTCTGTGAAGCATGTTGATGGAATTAGTGGAGCGATATGGAATCAGGAAATGGTCTCATGTAGCTCGAATGCTAAATGGAAGAATTGGGAAGCAATGCAGAGAAAGATGGCATAACCATTTAAGGCCTAATATCAAGGTTTATTAATTACCCTATACTTTCCTCTCTAGTTTATTCATTCATAATAAGAGATACTTTGTTCATGCAATTATTATTATTATTGTTATTTTCTTTCAGATGTCTTGGTAAAGTTATATGTGACAATTAATTTGTAAATAAATATATATATACAATGTCTATGAATTAAAAACCAATTAATCTGCATGCATTTGATTATGGACAAAAACATAATTGAATTATTGTCCTGTAGATATACACAAATAATTCAAATCAATATTTACATGGCATGCAACTATACATATATGCAAGAGCATATATCTAAAGGTTTATAACATGCAGGCATATATTTTTTTTTTCTCATGTTGTTGAAAAAAGGAATAATTTCCAAAATCCCATCACCAAAAAAAAAAATTACTTGATTTCTCATTATTGCAATTATATGCTATAGATCAATGTTATTTGTGGTGAATGATGTAGTCACAATGTATCACTCTCATCTTACATGCTCTTAGAATATAGAATTGGATTTCTTATATATAGATTGGCTTTCTTACATGCTCTTAAAATATAGAATTGCATGATTTCACCAACTTAGAATTATTCTTTTCTTGCAACAGTTTCATCCGCATACTGTCACATAACTCACAGGAAATGTAAATAATAATAATTCATTAGAAAGCATTTAAATTTTAGAAATCATACTGTCAAAGATAGTGCTCTCTCTCTCTCTCTCTATGGTAAACAAGTTATGATACATAGAAAGATCTCAAAATAGTGGTCTGGATGGATCAAGATATGTTTTTGAATTAAAATTTATTTCTGTGGAAATCCTTAAATCTAAATATGATGGAATTTATGTTGTGCAGTATTTTATTTATGCATGAATTTATTATATACCTAAAATGATTTGAATGAGCAAACGTGAACTGCTGCATGCATGCGATCTACTTGTGGACTATTGGATCAGCTACCCCACGAAATGACAGCAATCTCTTGTCGATGCAGGTGGATAGTTGGAGCGAGGAGGAAGACAAGATACTGATTCAGGCGCACTCACAGCTGGGGAACAGGTGGGTGGAGATCGCCAAGCGGCTTCCAGGACGCACGGAGAACTCCATCAAGAACCACTGGAACACCAACAAGCGGCGGCAGTCTTCTCGTCGAACATGCCGGAAGTCGAAGGACGCCAAGCGGAGCACGCTCCTGCAGAACTACATCCGAAGCTTGAACCTGACCTCGTCACCTCCGCCGGTGGAAAGCAGCAGTAAGAATGGCATGCAACGTGAAGCCGTCAACGTGCAGGGAGACGGTGATGGCGACCGCTTCCTTCATGGCTGGGGCCTCGGCGAGGCCCCCGAGATGCTGCTGGATTCCAGGATGCTGCCTGACACGGATGATATGATCAGTTGTCTCTTCGATCAGCTGGGATGCAGCGTTAGGATTGGGAAAGTGTGTGACGCCGCGACGACGTGGGACGGCGTTCCGCCGCTGGTGATACCGAGCGAGGATGTGAAGAGGGATGTAGACCTGTTGGAAATGATCGCCATGAACAGCAGCAGCAGCAGAGAGTAGAAGCTTCTGACACAAGTAATATTGCCTTCATGGATGTCTCTTTGATACCGTAAACTGTATACGGCTATACTGTGGCCTTCAATGTTTCTTGCTATGAAATCCGTGCTGCTGTGAGCTCGTCTGCTCGATCTTCGCTTTTGAATCTGCGGTGGTTTAGTTAAATTTGATTAACGTTACTAAATCTAAGAATGATAAGTAAATCACTTTTCTTAATCTTGAGAGAGACTAAGATTTCCAAAGTAGGATTTCTTTGGTGTTAGAGAAGTTCTACTGTCCTAAGATTTCCACACTATTAGTCTCATCCATTAGTAGATTTGATATCGTGTTTTTGTGCATTCATAATTATTATCTAATATATTTCTAAAAGCATTTTCACAAAGATTTGTTGGTATGTGTTGTGAATTCACGAAAATTATTATTAAGAAAAGGGTTAACATCGAACGTCCCTATCAAGACTTATTGGGCCCAAATTCGGCCTGTAATGGGCTCAATCTGGCACTTGTAGGCTTTAATCTGGACTAAATGGGCCCACCTTAATGTGCAATCCCTTCTAAACCAAGGCGATTTTGAGAATATATATATATATATATATATATATATATATATATATATATATATATATATATATATATATATTTATAATGAGTTAATAAAGAGAAATATTTTACGATAAAATTAAAATATTTTTACTGTATTATTGTCGAAATATTTAAAAAAAATATCATTTTAGAATGATGTCCATATGATATAAATATTGATGAATCAATGGGTATGGAAGCAAATATTTCCGTATTATACAGTAATTTCTGTTTAATATCAATATGAGTCCGATCCATCTCACACTACTCGCAGGGATAGAAGGAAGGAGAGATTCCAATGGCTGATCACGGGGAGTACGTCCTTCTTTCGGGTACAACGACGCACTGCAGCAACGCAGACGAGAGAGCGGTCAAGGTGTTCGACAAGCAACGTCGTACCACCGTCTACATGCCGCGTTCATCACGTACGTAAACCCGTGATCGCACTACCTTTGTCCGCTGCGAGAAACGCCACGCCCACATCCCGATAAAGAAGACGAAGTAGAAGACAAGCCGTCGGTGACTGCTCATTACTCGGCAGAGAAGAGGAACAGGAAACTGCCGCTGCCGCTCGGTGATGGACTCCAGTGGATGATCCTCGTCTAGGGTTGACAGAATAGACGTCTCGCGGAGGAGCAATGGCATGGAGGAATCGGGCGCCACAGGTGTTTGATTGATTGACAGTGCTGTTGTAGCAGCAGCATAATACTGCCCTGCTCTGCTCTGCTCTGCTCTCATGGCACTTCACCTAGGCGGAGGACACTGTAGAACAACTTGACCGATGGCCTCCGTACGTGAGAATCCTGACACCGTTGCCTGCATTGATCTAAGTAGTAGATCTGCTGTTCCTTTTGGGAACACAGTTCGGATACATTCCCTCCATTCGAGAGCTCGAGTCACTCACCACATTCCATTTCCTAAAGGTTTTAACGGGGGGATGTCGTGCCTCCACCCTGAACTCGCGTTGGCCTCATCTCCGTCACAGACCTGTGTAGTTGCGTGACCGGAGAGGGTGGGGGGGAAGAGAGAGAGAGAGAGAGGTGTGTGCATCTCTTCAATGTGGCAGTACACCTTAGGTCAAAAGTTTTGGGAAGTGGAGAACATGGAGAAGAGTAAAGAAAGGGATTGAAAGTGAAGAAAACTAAGAGGAGAGCATCATTCAATCTTGCTCAGCTCTCCTCCCAACACTCCAAAGCATCTCTCTCTCTCTCTCTCTCTCTCTCTCTCTATCCCCTCTTCTCTTCTTTCCTTTTAGATTAGAGGGAGGGTAGGATTAGCTCTCATCCCAAGGCATAGGTTACTTGATTCTATGGTTTTATACTCTGCATTTCCAAGCATAAACATTGTGTTGCATTCAAAGTCACAAGAAGAATGTGCATTTCCAGACTTCTCTGAGAACTCCACATCTCTCCATGGGCTACTCAAATGTACACAAATCAACTACCTGAATGAGTTATGTTCTGATCTTGGATTTGTTCAGTCTCTGAAACAAATCTTTGCTAGATTCGAACAATCTACTAAAACTCAAGTCACTGCATAAACTTCTCACATTTTGTAAATATTTCACAAACAGAAGTTGAATGATTAAAACAAGGAAACATGATCTTTTCAAGTGCCAGAAGTTCTAAAATTCCAATTATTAGAGCCTATGATGGGTAGCCAAAACAACCTTCTTTTATTAAGATGAAATTTCAAATCATTTCATCTATCATTCCCCCTTTTTGCAGCAGCAGATCATCTCATACTGATACATAATAGAAAAGATTGAAATTTCTTCTTCAAAATTCTTAAAGAGGACCAAATAGAATCCTCCTGTTAGCAGTTAGCAAACATAGGACTATGTACTTATATCAAATGAGACCAATAATTCTACAGCATTATGTATTTTTTCTCCCCATAAGCTCCACTTGATATAAAAAAAAAAGCATAGTTGTATACTCTCTGCAATATGGTATCTGAAGTAGTAGATGCTATATAGATTTCCACTTGACATGATGGTGTGAAATTTTCAGTGCATCACAAGGATGCTAACAACATCATCACAATATTTATTAGGATGCAACATTAATAATGCCAACAATGTTGGATGTGACTTAACATGTGAAGAAAATACTTTTAACCTTAGATTGCATTTCCAGGTGCCATAAATGCACCATTTGAGAGCAACCTCAGCTCATCAATTTACCAACAATCTTATCTGAGCTTTCATGGATCTTTTCTATCAGCCACTACCATTTACATGATATCACATCAACCTTAAAATTAACTGAGAAAGGGTCAAAATTTCAGATGATATATATTGACCAGAGTAATAAGCTACCCATTTTTGTATATTGCAGCAGCAGATCATCTCATCTATCATTCCCCCTTTTCTTCTTTTCATGACAGCTACTGTTTCCCTCACCAAATGCACATGGAAAGAGAGGTAGTTGGATGCACTGAGAGTGAGAGAGAAACATAGACCAACACCACAATTACATGCACCAAGCTATCAAGCTTGTTTCACATGATTGAGCAGCCACTGCTGGTGTTCTCATCACTGAAGAAGGTGGTGTAGGGCTCACCATGATGTGGGACGGCCGCTGGCACCGGAGGCAGGTACACCGGCGGCGGGGGTGGCCGAGCGTAGCCCGTCATCGTCGGCTGGAAGCTGCGGTCATGGGCGTTCATCATCATCATTCTCTGTTGTTGTTGCTGCTGCTGCTGCTGCATCATGGCGGCCATGTACTGCTGCTGCTGATATGGATTGGCCATGGGTACCACATCAGGCGGCGGCGCCACCGTGCCTCCTCCCTGATAGTAATTGTGAGGTGGGACTCCTTGCGCTGCCGTCGCTGCCACCGGAACGTTCCCCATCTGAGGTCCCATTGCCATGCCGGGGAAGCCTTGGCCAATCATGCCCGGATTGATCATGGGATGGCCTCCTCCGCCGCCCATTTCATTCTTCCCACATCCCTTCTTAGCTCCGTTGGCGGTGCCACTTTTCCCAGCTTGGCCATTGCCATGACCATTGGGAGGGCTCTTGATGTCACTGCCAACGTTAAGGCCATCTTGTGGCGCAGCGCCACCACCATTCTTCGATGCAGATCCACCGCCTTGACACTGGTTTTGGTTTCCACCGCCACCCTTCTTACCACCACCACCATTGCCATTCTTCGGTACACCGTTGTTACACATGCCTTGGTTCTGTTCTCCAGCCTTCTTAGCCCCGCCGCCGTTACCTCCTTTGTTATTACCCTTCACAGCGTTCCCGTTCGGTACCCCGAGCGCGGGCGTGATCTTGATGTTCTTGAAGTCGTCGTCGACGTCGGCGTCGAAGCAGTCGAGCTCGTCCATCTCGTCGTCGTCGAAGTCGTCATCGAAATCGTCCTCCTCGTCGTAGTCATCGCTGCCTTTAGGAGGCAACGCAAAGCTGACAGCTTTGGGCTCCTTCGGAGGGGGTAAATTGAATGGCTTCAACTGTGGCAACTGTAGGTCTTTGGACCCTTTCATTTGATGCAGCATCTGCTGCTGTTGTTGAAGTAGCAGCTGCTGCTGCTGTGGTGTTTGCTGAGGCTGCTGACCTTTTTGGTCTTTCCCTCCACCACCACCACCGCCGCCGCCGCCACCGCCACCGCCGCCATTCCCAACCTTCTGGGGCTTCGCATTATTGTCCTTCTGCTGCCCCTTGCCCTGTTGCAGCTGTGACTTCTGGGCCTGGTTGCTGCTGCTGTTGTTGCCACCCTTCGGAGCCAACAGCTCTGCGTGTTTGCCAGCCTTGGCAAGCTTCTTGACGAGAGTGGCAGGATCAACATCACCTGATACAGTCACCTTCCCTTGCTCTGCATCTATGCTGGTTGTGTACACCCCTGATAACAATAGCAACCCAAAGCAGAGGCAACAAAAACAAAAGAAATCAACCATGGAAGAGCTCATCAGTCCGTGATGCTATGATAGATAATCAATAAAAACAATGGAGTTGAAACCCCAAAAGAAAAGGTGAAGAAGATAACAAATTTTGTAATGGTATGATTGCTTAAAAACAGAGTGTTGCAGTTGAAGTACCATCAACTTTGTGAAGCAGTTTCTTGACCTTCTTCTTACATCCATCACAGTGTATGTTCACTTTAAGGATGCATGTCTGCAAATGGAGCAAGAAAACCCACACAAGACGAAAGCATTACAAAGACAACCATGAAAACCAGCACAGTTTGCTTGCCTAGTGGGAGCTCCCTCAAGAGAGAGAGAGAGAGTGAAGAGTTGAACATGAAGAAATTGGTTAACACAAGATCTCCCGAGTTAAGAAGAAAATGTTCAGAGATAGAAGCTTTACCTGTATCTTGAGGAACTTGATGTCTTCTTCTTTACTCATCCCTTTCACCTCAGAGAAGAGCAGGGCTACAATGTTCTGTACCTCAAATCCAGCAGAATTCTCTTGTGGTATTGGAGACAGGGAGAAGATAACAAGGCAGGGAAAACATCAAGAGCAACCCACACAGGGGAGCTTCTTATTCAGCAACAATTCTTGTCCCTCAAAGAGAGAGAGAGAGAGAGAGAGAGAGAGAGAGGTTCAGAATTTTCACAGCATTGTCCCTAAAAAAATGGCTATTAGCATTGGCATTTTACTCAGGTGGTGTGTGAACTTGGTTGTAGGGAAGGGTCCCACAAAATGCAGAGCCTCTCTCTCTCTCTCTTTCTCTCTCTCTCTCTCTATCTCTATCTATGTATACAATATGTTATGTACTTTTTATGATTATTATACTTCTTTCTTTTATGTAAACCCAGAATTTAAGACAGCCACCTATTACACTACAATTCTCTACTTTAACTACATCAAACAACAAAATCTTTACCTTGCAATTTCTTGGAATTGATCTCCAAACTTGTGAAGCTTTGATTGCCAACAATTTCTGATCAAATTAGGTGGTGAGCTTAGGTAATGTTTGATACCTCTCAGGGTCATAAAAACATCAAACAAGCAAATGCTTTCCATTCATCACCATCATAGTTTGTGAGGATCATCCAAAAAACTCACTCTGCGCAAGCTGAAGACACATTTCCAATCTTTACCTGATGGTGCACCGACAACAACAATTTCGACTCGATGGGTGCGTTAACTACAGTGGATCAGCTACTGTCAGCAGAAGCAGGTGTTGAGCGATGTGTTGACTTTTGTGTTGCATGTCTGACTGCATCGGATTTGATGTACTGCAGGCCATAAACATCAGGAGGAGGAGGTGAGACAGAGGTTCTTGAGCATCATCAGCTCATGGCATGCATCACCCTCAAGTTTGAAGACATCGTTGATGGTAATCACATGAGTTAAAGTTGTGTGTCAGATGCAGCCGCAGCTGCACTGCTGCCTTCTTGTTGACATCCACCAAAATCCTGTTCTCTAACTCATGTTGCAGGCTGAAGCTGAGGCAAGGCAGCGAAGTTGTCAGAAACCTGATAGAAAACCTGATCTGATCAGGCTTATTAACGAGCTAATTTTCAGAAAATTTCCTCGTTATGGGATGCTTCTTCTTCTTCTTCTTCTTCTTCTTTTTTTATCCATCAGTAATTTTATTTTTTTTCTTTAAAATGTGTCCCAGTTATAATATTTTTGTAAATGCTTAGTTTTTGTATGTCACAAGAACACTATAACACTATAGTACTTTGTTCTTAGCTTCAAACGAAGGATGAATTCTTAGATAGAACTTTGAAAGATCCACTGGAAGGATTAAAAGGAAAAAAAAAAACAAAGGGGATATTTGAACCTTTTCTACTGATGTGACACTTTATGTATACATCATTTATATAATAATTAACAAATGTATTCCTATGAGCATGCAGAGTAAATACTTGGAGCAAAATAATGTCATAAAAAGCTAGTTTTCAACCCACGCAAATCCAATCCGCACACCCAAACAAGATAAATACAAAAGGATACGGAGATGCCAATCTGACGGCCACTGTTCGTGTGAGTTGCCGTTTCGACGGTCGGCAGCAACGTTTCGCCTCTCCCCCCATGACAATGCGCAGTGAGCAGAGCAGAAGAGAGAGAAAGAGATGAGTTCACCCTCCTCTTCGACTCTGTGCACTGGTTTCTTAATGAGGCGCACTTCCCCAAGGATGGAAGCGCAGGCCACAGTGGTCAAGTCAAAGCAGTGGACTATGGCTCTTTCCTCTGTCTCCTCAGTGACTTTTAATGAGGGGTTATGATGTAATGTCCAAAGATGTGCCGTGAGCCTTCACTTCATCTGAACTTTTCAGGTCCTTTGTGGGGGGAGGGAGAATATTATTTCTATGGCCTGAAGACATGGATGCTGGTTTTGAGTGTGGCCTCACTCTGTGTTTGTGCTCGAGTTGCAAGTTCCAATCACATATTTTTATGAAGAACATATAAGAAACATTAATTGGGACACATCTTTTCTCGATGTCCAGTACTTTCACATGCCTGGTTTATATTAATGGCACATATGTACTCTTGAAGGACATGTGAATGTGGAAAAAAGTTGGCACATCAAAGTTCACACTTTTATGGGAGGATATAAACATTAGATTTCATCCTTTTTTTTCTTTTTTTTTGGATCTTTACATCACATACCCATAAAAGCATAATCACCACATAGGCGAAACAACTCAAACTTGAATCAACTTGAATAATGCCTAAGAGAACAATAGAAAATGTTCTCTTCTCATTCATTCATTCATTCATTCAAGATGATGGCAGTTCGATGTCCAACCTATTTTTCTGCTTCAGAGGAAACTTGCAACACTACTTTAGAGATGGCGTCATGTACAACTTTTGAGAGACTCTTCCTAAGCAGAAACTGTTCTTTTCTTTCTTTAGTTTTCCATAGAATAATCCACAAGAACTTTGAGATGATTGATAGGAGCGTGTTTGAGATGGCTGGTGTTTGAAATAATGAGCGGCAAAGGAGACGAAATAAAGAACATAGTACTACTAGATGCAGGCTTCATAGAAAGAGCAGTTCTGCAATCATACACCTAAAACTTCTTTTGAAAGACACTTTAAGTAGATAACTATTCTCTCTCTCTCTCTCTCTCTTGGATTTCCATGCAATGTTACATAGGATGGATTCTGTAGTCCCATATAGAGAGAGAGAGAGAGAGAGAGAGTTCTGCAATCATACAAAACTCGTATTGAAAGAATCTTTTAAGCAGATGACTGTTTCGTCCTTTTCTTACTTTGTTTTGCATAAAATGATATGATTTGTAGGACAGAGTTTAGGATGGATTAGTGTTTGAAATAATGAGAGGGAAGAAGATGAAATTACCAGCAGCAGCAGCAGCAGCAGCAGCAGGAGGAGGAGGAGGAGGAAGAATCTCCGACAGCAGTGCTGTTTGACATGCGCGCGCGGACGTATGCACTGCAGCCACCAGTCCTCTTTCCCACTGCACTCTTTTGTCTCCTGGCTTTCGTTTGCTTCTGCTTGAAACTTCATCGTTCAGCTTACAGAGATACCCAACAGTGAACAAGGAAGCAAATGATGGTAACACAAGTGACGCAGTACCCGCAAAGGTTGCTACGGGCGTGGCGGGTAATCGAAGCCAGACGAGTACGCCATTAATGCCTGCATAAAGTGACTCCATCGAGAAAATTTCATTAAGAAAATAAATCAGTCGATCATGTCTCATCTACTGAATCAATGATTTTTAAACTCCCTAAGGACCTCCCTAATTGCAAATTCTATCTTTCTATTTTATGGGTTAAATATAGTGGTAAATGTATTTTCTAATATATCAAGAATTGATGATTAATAATATTATAAGAAAATGGGTGTTTTTTTTACTTTTTTATTACTTCCATAGTGAGAATGAATTGGGAATTGTGTTAAAATATACTGCCCGGAGAATTTTCTTTTTTTTATTAGTAAGTATTAGATTTAACACTGTGGATGGAAGGAACTTTTATTGGATTACTAAATCTACTTTTAGTCAAGTTGTTGTAATTGTAGCATATTTTTAAATAGCAGATGGTAGTGCCCAATCACTATTAGAATGATAAGATAATTAAAAAAAACCAAACTAAATCGAAATTGCCATTTTATTCAAATAATAGAACAGAGACAATAAAATTCAAAAAAAAAAAGTCAAAATCATCATTAAAGAAATGTAATCATATCGTCCTTTATGTCCTATTAAAATAAAAGAAATCACTTTTGATTTGCTTAGACAATAAATTTCTTGTCCTTAAAGAGGCTAAGAGTGACGGTACAAAGTCTAAAAGAACTAAATAAGAAGATATTCAAGTGCATCAATGGCAGTACATGAAAAGGACACTAATTTTATTTGAGTGGTCATCTCATATTTTGTCACCTTCGAGTGTTCGAGGCTCAGAGAGACGGTTTGGTCATTCAAAAGGAGGACTTGGATCCAAAAAGACATAATTCACTGCCTACAATCATCGTTTTGGCTGCCTTTTGTTTTGTTTTTTTTTCTTTTGAATTATTTGGAAGTAAATAATACTTTACTTGTGAAAAAATAAAAATAAAAAACGAATGAAACTATTGTTCTTATCTTTATCAAACGTGTTTCCTATTTGTTTTTTCTTATAAGCTTCTTACCTGATAAATAATTGACAAAAAGAAAAAGTATCAATATATATAATCATGATGAGACCACAACATTCAATTTGAAGATAAAAAATAGGTGGCTGAATAAAACCGAGCTGATTCAGCTAACCTGCAAAATCTGGTTGAACAAATCACTTTGATGCATCGAAAGATTCATCAGGAAGATTTTTGTCATGCATTGATGTGGACAGAAGAGACCTTGTTAAAGTCCTTCTGCAGCCCTGCTGCTGGATTGCTGATCACTCTGCCTTGCCTGTGGACCCCTGTATGTCAATCGACAAACAGCCATAACTGCTGAACCAAAGTTCTAAAAGAAGACCGGAGAGAAGAGACATACCAGAGATTGAGATGGTTATTGTCCAAGCCACGCAAACATCACTGCCATCTGAATCTTTTCACAGAAAGATCAAATTAAGTCAGACGATTCAAAATAAAATGCAAGTGAAAGTAGAATAAGAAGAGTAGTCTCTCAGATCAACTGTCCAGCTGTAGTAGACGACAACTGAAACACACCTGTTTGCTATTCTGCAAATTGAGTCTGTCTAGTTAAAATTATAACCTAAATCAAAAGCTGCAATTTAACTTGTTGCAGATAGGAGCTGATATAATGCAGGGAGGGGCTCCCCAGAGTAATCACAAACGCATTTCTAAGCAACCAAAAAAAGTTTTTGGATGTGCAGGTTACATCTGCAGCCACCAAATAAAATCTGTAGCATGTTGTAACTATTTAAGAGCCAAAAGGCAAACAACAACTCACTCTCAATGCATGTGCAAAACCTAGATTTGCAGATGTGCTGCAACTGCAATTACAGAAAATTAAATTCACAAGCAACCAAGTGCAACCTGCAGGCTTGTTTGAAATCATACATAAGGCATACATTGCATCAACAAATGCAGACATTCTGCACATTGGTCAAAAATATGGGCGTAAATTCATACCTCATTTACATAAGGATCACTACATGTGTAGACCAGTCCTTACTGAAGATGTTGCACATGCAAGTAAAAGAAAGCTGCTCACAAATAATCAGTAAATATTCACACTTCTTACTATGATATATGCTTCAAAGTGGAATTTAGGCTGGAAATTTATGATAACTCAAATAGCTTGTATCAGGAAGTCTTCTGAAAGCAATTTAAGAATCAACCAGGAATGATGCCCCAGTTATTTTGGTGTTTGTGTGCCGTCTTCAACCTGAGTTGAATTTCTTCATGTTCCAACTGAACTAAAGGCAATTACCTACCAATTGAAATTTAATTAATAAATTCTATGAATGATGTTGAAACATGAACCATGTTTTAAAATTAAATCATTTGAACAACCTGAGGATCACAAATATTAACAATACTAACTACAACCAACTTGTATAACAGAACAAGTTAAGGATGCTCCCACAATTTCTATTTTGCAACTTTTTTTCTTTTTTTTGCACAGAAACACCATCTAGATTGTTAACAGTCATGCAAATTTTGTTCAGACATGTTCTTTGTAATTGTAGATAGCACTGTTGTAGGGCAAGATCAATATACAGTACCTGGAGAGTCTATAACAACCACCATGAAATTTTAATATCAAACCAACAAAATATATGTATGAAGCCACTACAACATGCAGATCATAACAACAGAGGAATTCAATATTTTAACTGTTGAACAACAACAGTGCAATATAACCAAACTGGACAAGATTCAACACAATCACAGACAGCTGACTCAACTGACATGGGTACACAGATATTGTGATAAAAGATTAATATACTTTCAACTTTCAACACTGCAATATGAAGCTGTATACATATATCAATGTACATGAAAGTCACCAACTTTATTTAAAACAGATACACACACACTAGAAAAAAATTTTGCAAAACCTAACATACCAAGAGACCTTGAAGTCTATCATGGGTCAGCGGTATTGACCTTAATCTCCATCAATTGTTCAACAGGTTGACGGCATATTGGACATTTATTTGATTGCAGCCTTAATGCTTTCGCGCAAACACCACACATGCACTGGAAGTGACATAAACAATCAGTTAAGCAACAATAACACAAAAGGTGAGGGACCATCATAACCACATTTACTAGTCAGTTTCATCTTGTAACAATATTAGTAACGAAACAAAAGAAAGCTTGTTGAGGACTAACCATGTGCCTACAAGGAAGTACAGTGGTATCTCTTGGTTCTGACAGACAGATTACGCATTCTTTTCCCATATCATCATCATCTCCACCACTAATTTTTGCTTCAACTGGGCTCAGGCCGAAGATTTCTTGTAGTTCGTATCGTTCGTCTTCAACCCACAATATCTGCTTTACTACCTTGACTTTAAAATTCCCATCATTACTCTTCTCTATGACAGCTTGAGTGATCTGCGCATGAGCAGGACTTGAAGATTGGATACCATGAACATCTTTGGATGGGGATGGTCGGCAAGATTTGGCATATATTACCAAAGGGAAGACATCACCTTCTAATGGCTTTGAGAGCTCATCCAAATCGAAGAATCCCAAGTCAATACCAGATCCTGAAGGTTGGATGAATGTCTGTCCAAGTCCCTTAAGAAAGGTTATTCCTTTAGGTGTGTATATATCCACATATATAGAAGAGATAGTGGCATTGGCCCCTTCCTTGGCGAAGTAATAAATTGTAACACTGTTATCAAAGTCAACTTTAAACCTTTTGTGCAAAATCAAAAAATTGTTCAAACAGTAACAAACTTATATTATAGTCAGAAATAATTAGATGGGAGATGAGCACATAAGTTGAGTGAATAGAATCTTACGATACTGTTTCCAAGTAAATGTGTCTTAATTGTAACAGAACAGTTTCTAATTTATGGTAGCATAATTTCACAGTTAAATTTATGATTAAAGATAAAAAGTTCGATGACAGGTATGATCGCTATAGCTGACCCCTAGTAGTTGGGTCATTACAACAATGTGTCAAGTTTTGGAACAAGACCTGTGCTGGTCCCTGCCTAGACCAGCGTAAGTCCTATACATAGTGGCATCCCGACACCTGGTATGCTGATGTTGCACCAAAGAGGAGGGGAGGAGGAGAAGAAAATGGAGGGGAAGAAGACAAACAAATACAGAGTGGACAAAAGGGCAAAGTTTGAGAAAAGAAAGAAACACATGGAAAGGAATAGTGTAAACTATGGAGTGCATGATTTGATCCAATAGATGATAACAGCATAAGTACCAAACAACATAGACCTGTTATCACTAAACATCACTACTGAAGCAGCATATGTCCAATATATGTGTTACGACATGTATCTTATTTTAAGTGAGAACATTGTCAAAATCCCAAATAACAAAATTTGAGGAGGTTCGTCAAATAGATTTTAATGCAAATTGACCAATCCTGATCAATTATATTTGCATAGTTATGCCAGGAATTTAGTATTTTAGGTTAAATGAAGACCAATACAGATGAAGTGTAAATTGGTTTTTTACAAGGAAGTGCACTCCTAAGGATAAACAGATCAATAACAGACACACTTTTCTATGATCAACACTAATGAAAATGCTATAACTTTTCTGAATGCAGGAGGCACAAAGATGGAGAAATAAGTTGGGACAGCAGAATCTAGAAAACAATATAAAAAACATAACTGAAGATCATGCTTACATTATTTTTCATAGCACTCAGTTAGATGACAAGATCTTTATATAACTTAATTTTTCATCTATAGGGAAAACCAGTCACTGGACCAAACTAAAAGGATTTTGCAAACAAGAGCATCAACACTCTCCATGATTACAAAACTCAAAATGCGCAATTTGAGTATACGAGCTAAGATGAATGGTATCATATTAGGTAAACAATGAAACATGTTGTTGAGCAAGTTATCAGGGGTTACAATTTTTTATAAAAGATATACCAGCCTGCAATTTCCTTCTTCAGTTGAAGATTTAGAACTACTATTTGCAACTGCCTGAATGTACTAAAGTGCAGACAAAGAGAAGAATAATGATGGAGGCAAAAGTTACAGCATAGCATAATCCAATATATCTAGATTATAATGAGCAGTTAACTTAAATCGTTAATCAAAAGAAATTTAAAACTTTAGGAAATTCAAAGAGAAAAATTAAGAAGTAGAAATGGTTGTAGTTGGCATGCTGTAATGCGCTACAGGAGAGAAATGTATAAAGAATTAATCTTGTGTAGCTAACAGACACTTTTGTTCAGGTTACTTACCTGTTTTATGTTCCAGGAAAAACTGTTGAAATTGGCAAGTCACAAACTGATTGAATTAAGCCCAAATATTACATAAAGTAGCCTGAGCATTTAAGAATAGTCTGTTCATATGCAGCACATAATGCTGAAGAATCAGTTACTAAAACAGATGAAGCGACCAGAGAAACCATTTCCGTAGTCTACTGAGATATCTATTGATCTAAATCTTTCTATGCTTTGATGTTTTTGACGAGTGGAACTACATAATAATCTCACTCTTTTTAATGGGTACTTGACATTACCATTTGAAAACCAAAAAAAGAAAAAGAAGGTGAACCATTGAACAACAGAATAAAGTTATAGTTACTGCCAAATTGTCAATCACCAGATCAAGTTTCCTTGTTTGATGATATCAAAACTGATAGAAGATAAGATTTCCCCAACTTGATAGAGGATAAGATTTCCCCAATTATATGAGGAAATCTCTCTATTCTGTTTATTCTGTTGAGAGAAATCCTTCCTTAATCTGTATAAATAGGAGAGGGAACATGTTAATAGATTCAAGCTAAAGCTATTTCATTTCTACAATAAAGCTTCTTCAATTATTGTTCTTATCTTCTATTATTTCTATCATGGTATCAGAGCAGTGAGAAAAGCGAAGCTTCGTTCTTGCCTTTGGCCAGCGACCAACGTCGCTGAGAAAAACGAAGCTTCGCCCTTGTCTTCGGCCAGCGACCAACGCCGCTGCAGCCACATTCCTGAGAGGCTTCACGGCCAATCCTCATCTTCCTCACCGCGGTAGTCTTCGCTGATCTGTCAACAGTCGGCGGACTTAAGGAGAACGAAGGGCGGATGTAAGGAGAACGAAGGGAACGTCTGTGCCCACCATTTTGCGGGGGCATGATAGAAGATAAGATTTCCCCAACTTGATAGAGGATAAGATTTCCCCAATTATATGAAGAAATCTCTCTATTCTATTTATTCTGTTGAGGGAAATCCTTCGTCTCTGTTGAGGGAAATCCTTCGTCTTAATCCTATAAATAGGAGAGGGAACATGTTAATATATTCAAGCTAAAGCTATTTCATTTCTACAATAAAGCTTCTTCAATTATTGTTCTTGTCTTCTATTATTTCTATCAAAAACAGTGACCAGCGACAATGATGAAAGTATTCAATGCATTGAAAGAATGGTTCAGAAAACCCAAAGATAACGCCTTAGCTAAAAAACTTGATGCATTTCGTCAGGATAAAACTCACAAGAGACAGGGAATAGTAATAGCATTGAAACTGCGAATTCAATTTCATCATACCAAAATCAACACTTATCGATGATCTTCCACTGAACAAACTGTGAATTCAATAAAAACAGAAGCATTAGCAAGAAAATGGCGAGGAGAATTAGATACCTCCCATCGACCATGGCGTCAAAGGTGAAAGAGACCAGATGATGATCGGCGTTCTGCTCATCAGGCACCAGCCGTATCGAATCCTTATGCACGTTGACATCGTTCTTCACCGTCTTGGTCTGCTCGACGAACGGTGGCGGCGGCAGCGCCTGCGGCTGACCAGCCATCCTGGGAGAGTGGATCGGCGGCGGCGGAGGCGGTGGCATCCACCAACCACCGCTCCGACCGGGGCCATAGTGCTGTGGGTGCTGAGGCCGGCACGTCCAAGGGCTGGATTGGTGGTAATAAGAAGTGCTAGGGTTAGGAGGCGAAGGCATCGGGTAGGGCGTGCTATAGTTGGAGCGAGGCGGCGGCGGCTGCGATGGCGGTGGAAGCGGCGGAGATATCGGGAGATGCGAGGAAGAAGTAGCGGACTGGTTCGGACCAGGAGGAGGAGAAGAGTAGGAGAACGAGGGATTTTGACGGTGGTAGTCGTTTCTTCTCGAATTGCTTGATGATTGGCCCATGCTTCTTCTTCTTCTTTATTCCTTCTTTCTTCTTGCTAATCGATGGAGATTCTTCTTGCTTATCGATGGGGAGAGTTAAAGAAGAGCGGGGAGAACGGGAAGAAGAGAAGACAAGAGGAAGAAGGTTGGGAGAAGACCGGTAGTGGGGTGTTTCTGTAAATAATCTGATCTTGCGTTTTACTTTTCGGGGTCGAACGAAAGAACGAAGAGAAGGGATGGTCACAGGGAGAAGGAAAAGAAGCCACGTAGCAAGATGGTGAGATAGTTGTAATCTCAAAGCATAGGGAAGCCGGGGTGCGGTGACCCTTGAATCCTACAACGTAGGTGGTAGATATTGATAGAATATTATGATATAGATAAATATAAAATAATAAATTTTATATATTTTACATATTTAATCTTTAATTAAATATTTGCATTTTAAGTATTTCTTAATATTATTTTTTATTTTAACTTTTTATATATTACTCTTGATTTATAAAATAAATAAATCATCTCTTAAAATTTTTTTCACCTATTACCATAATAAAAATACTGTGAGACTAACTCAATCTAAATGGACTCCCAACCTTAATTAAATTAATAAAAATATTAAAAATATAATATTATAATAATATATAAAAAAAGGTTTATGAAAAACATTATAAATGAACCAAATGAAAATAATGTTGTAGTTGAAAACTGGTTTAAAAAGGCAAAAAAATTTAACGAAAAAATTTGTGAAGAATATTTTAGATATTTTATAAATTATAAATACTAGTTAGGAAAAAATAAAAATGGATATCTTTTGAAAAAATATAAAATATATTTTTTAAAAAATATATATTTCTTTTTCTCTCTTTTCTTTATCATAAATCAAACCTCCATAAATTTCCATAACTCTTTGAAATTTCACACTCAATGAATTGTAATCCTCTCATTGGTTTTCTTTTAATATTTATCGACAAAAAAAATAAAACTAATTTGAACATGCATAAAGCAACTCTGTAAGAGTTCGATCTCGGTTGGAGCATTTTCTACTAATATGCATGATAAGGACATAGGATTCCCATGCATACCTGTGCACAGTATCCAAAAGCCTTTCGTTTATTCTCACTCTCAAGAGCAGGAACTCGTCTTCCTCGATAAGCGCATTGCCATTTCGTGGGTTGCATCTCTTGCACAGTTGTCTAGTGGAAATAGTCTCAAAATATCACAGTAGGTGTTTGCTATATATCTTAGTAGTTTTGTCTGCCAAATCCAAAGCATTAGAGGGATGCATGTCTTTGATTTGGTAGATCATGTAGGATATCACCCATACATTTATTATGTATATTTACACTGCTCATCTATGACCTTCTCATTCAGATAACATCATGTTGAAGATACTGTAATGAAGTTATGATAATAAGATGTTATGGTGTTGTACTATATGCAAAATCTGACATCTTCTCTTCCTGTAGTTTAAAGCACACGAGCCTCTATAATTGTTCTTGCTAGATATGCTACATTCTCCTGCTATAAGATACTTTTGAGATCCAGGCTTGAGTGTGATACATAACCATTGCAGAAATGCCGAATCGTGTTCTCTATCTTTTTTGCTGACATAAACAGATACAGAGCAGATCAGGAGTGCTGGAGCCAACCCAGTTGGACATCTCTTTTCTTCTCTTGTTCTAAGGTAATTTGCGTGGAACTAGATTGATCACTAAATATTTGCCATGGAAGCAGCAGCTGCACTGCAACATCTATTTATAATGGCTCATCACAGTTTCAGTTCAGTGCTTCTTAGTTTGCATGCATGTCTTGACAGAGAGCAGCGTTGGAACTCCATGCTTCGATCTTGCAAAGCGGATCGCTGTTCTTCTTTCTTTCGGATGCCTTCTTACCCTCTCTTCCTCATCCAGTTTTGGTTTCCGAGGGTTCCTTCGGTACCATGCAGGCTGCTTCCTCCCCTCGTTGATGTCCCCGCAGTTGCACGCATGGTGTACAAGGACAAGGTCGTCTTCATCCTTGGCACGACCGGGAGCGGCAAGTCCAAGCTCGCCATCGCTCTCGCCAAGAGCTTCCGTGGGGAAGTCGTCAACTCCGACAAGATGCAGGTGTACGACGGCCTCGGCGTGATCACCAACAAGGTGACCGAGGAGGAGTCCGGTGGCGTCCCCCACCACCTTCTTGGGGTAGTGCACCCGGAGGCGGACTTCACCGCTTCGCACTTCCGCCGCGAGGCCACGCGCGCGGTGGAGTCGATCCTCGGCCGCGGCGGCCTCCCCATCGTCGCCGGCGGGTCCAACTCGTACATCGAGGAGCTGGTCGAGGGGGTCGGCGGCGAGTTCCGGTCCCGCTACGACTGCTGCTTCCTGTGGGTGGACGTCGAGCTGCCGGTGCTCCACGAGTTCGTGTCGTCGCGGGTGGACAAGATGGTGGAGCAAGGGCTGGTGAAGGAGGCACGGGCGGCGTTCCGACCGGACGGGGACTACTCGAGAGGAATTTGGAGATCGATCGGCGTGTCGGAGATGGACGGCTACTTCCGCTCGGGGGACTCGGCAGGCGACGGGGAGACGAAGGCGCGGATGCTGGAGGCCGCCGTGGACGCGATCAAGGCCAACACTTGCAGGCTGGCGTGCTGTCAGCTGCAGAAGATCCGGCGCTTCTGCGCGATGGGGTGGGACGTGCACCGAATCGATGCCACCGAGTTCTTCCAAAGGCGAGGGCGGGGGTCGGAGGAGGAGCTGTGGGAGGAGGTGGTGGGGGAGCCCGGCGCGGCCATCACAAGAAGCTTTTTGGCCTCCAAGAACCAGAATAATGAGCTCGATGCCACTGCTAATGCTGCAACGTTCTAGGTTGAGAACGTGAGCACTTGCAGCCGTGGATGAGCTGACCAAGAAGCCATGGAATAAGTGCAGAGCTCTCTTCGTGGAAGGATGTTGCTGTAAAGATATGTCTTAAATTAAACTGATTTATTGGTGGAAATAGAGAATAGAAGGGGTTTTTTTTTTCGTAAGGAATTCGTCACCATATATATTATATATATATATATATATATATATATATATATATATATATATATATATATATATATATATATTCTTTTTCCTATGAACAGATCTATTGAATCAATTGATTCAATCACAATATTTTTACACGATAAATATAATTTTTAAAATTTTAATAAAAAATATTTTTATTCTTTTAAAGATTGCTAAAAATATTATTATATAGTATAGAAATATTATAATTGGATCGATCCATAGAAAAAAAGAGAGAAAAAAAGAATATTCTTAATTTTAGGTAAAAAAACGTTGTTAAGGGGACGTTTATCGGGAAAACAAAAAAATAAGTTTTTTTTTGTAAAAGTTCCTTATTTATATAAATATAAAAAATAATATCGAAATTTAGTGAGATAAAAAATGTGTACAAAGAGAGCAATAAGCCTTTTGTATGGAATCTCCGCAATACGCATATGCAAGGAGAATATAGTTTGACTGGCGGATGACTGGGTTGAGCTGCAACGCCACGACTGATGCCTATTTGGCGTGTTGTTCGGTACCGTGTGTGATAAGATCCCAAAGCTTCTAGAGGTAACCAACGAAGAGAAGGGAGCAGAGGAGAGAGATCGATCGATCGATCGATCGCCACCATGTGGGCTGCATCGTGTCTGGCGTCCTGCTGCGCGACCTGCACCTGCGGGCTCTGCACCTCCGTCGCCGCCGGTATCTCCCGCCGTTCCGCCCGCCTCGGCTACTGCGGCCTCTTCGCCCTTTCCCTCGTAATCTCCTGGATCCTCCGCGAGGTCGCCGCCCCCCTTCTCGAGAAGATCCCATGTAGGTTTGACACACGCACAAAGCCCTCTGTCGTGTCCTTCTTTCCTATCACATTAAGCGAACGATTCTTCCCACCAAAACGTAATTTTTCTCGCGATTAATGGTTGTTTGTTGGTGATAATTGCACTCGTCTTGCGGCATGCGTCAATCGGGCTTTTACTTGCGAGGGATGAAAAAACGAAGTAGGTAATCGCGTTTGCCATGTCAAATCAGACCATGATTTGTTCAGAATTGAGGAACCAAGTGTCTTAGGCGTCTTGGTTGTCTGGAGAAGATTCTTATGTTTAACTAGGGGAATGATACATGTCCATGTGTTTCCAGGCAACAAACATGCAGTTTGAAGGCTAAAGGTGGTGGCTTTATCACGGATTAGTCGAATTAGATCGCCAGACTTTAGATCGTGTTCTTGGTGAACTATAAGATTTTCATGATCTTGATGTTAATGATCTCCTTTTAAAGAGCCAATGTTTACCAAAATTTTTTTTTACCATGTCTCCTTGCAAATGAAAATATTAGGGCAAGAATGTTACCCAGCTTCTTATACTCACAGGAGGAAGGGGATTATCACAGTACTGCAAGTTGGAAGGTCTAAGGTGCTTGCTTTCCGAGGGATTAGTCGAATTGGACTGCCAGACTTTTGAGCTTAGTCTGAAGAAAGTACAAGATTTTCATGATCTTGATGTTAATTATCTTGCCCTTTTAGGTGCCATTAGGCAATAGAATTCACTAGGGCAAGAATGCGATGCAACTTCTTATACTCACAGTAGGAAGAGATGATTACAACACTTCAAGCTGCACAACATTAGCTGATCATGTGTGGATGTTATTGGACATTGTTTTGACTCATGATATTCTTCCAATTAATATCTTATTGATAAAAGATTTGATGTGAGTATAGGTCAGTCACAAATAACACTATGTGATGCAATAATCCTGTCCTCCAGCAATCGATTGGTACACTGGAGGGCACTTGATTCCTTATTAGTAGTCCTTTTGATTTATTATTTAATTATTCAATGGCTTGATGTCCAAATGATAATCATTTGTCTCACCCAGTAACATCTAAAAGTGGCTTGCCCCAAAACGTATAAAGTCTAAATATAAATATTGATATAAATGCAACAAAGTGAATATGAAAACAACTGAGGTAGTATAGGATTTGGCAGGGATATGGAAATAAATTGTTCTGTGTTGAGGATATTACATGTATGAATATACATTAGTTTTGTATGAGAAGAAAATCAACAAGCTATTTTTTATAAGAAGTGCTCAAATGCATACGAAAAAGAAATAAAAGATTGTTTTGGCTGAGACAAACAAAATTATGGTCTATGTCTATTCATCTTTCTCTAGTACTTCATAAGATATTAGTGCAATAATTATAAGC